TATCTTGAGCACCCCCCCCGCCCTCCTCGCCCCCGCCGCCGCCCGGTCCCGCGGTCGAGTACGTCGACGTCGCGACGTTCGCCGGCGCGGACTGGCGCCGGGACTTGCGCGTCGTCGACGACGGCGGCGGCGGCGGCGCGTCTCAGCCCATCGGCGGATGGCTCTTGCGGCAGGGCGCGGCGTGGGGCAAGCCCGCGATCGGGTGCACGCTCGAGATTTTACGGCCGGACGCGGCGCGGACGGAGAAGTCCTCCCCGGAGTTCGCCGCGAAGGGCGCGACGTCGTGGCGCGTCGGCGAAGTCGTCGCGTTCGACGCGGAGACGGGTGAACATCACGTCACTTTTTTCGACGGCTCCGAGCTCAAGTGCTACCTGTTCCTCCAGCTCCTGCGGTACATCCCCACGAAGTTTATCCCTCTGGACATGAAGATCGAGCCCCCCGCCGATGAGGGCGGGATCGCGTTCGCGATGCCGCCCATCCCCGTCGGCTGCGGCGGCATGCGCGGCGTGCTGTTGCCCGGCGGCAAACGCGGCGAGGAGCTGGTTCGATACGCCGCGCCGCGGGCGGCGTCAACGCCCGGGGTCATGGCGGAGTTCACCGTGCCCGCGACGGAGTTTGAACGGCTCGGCGGGAAGGGCACCGCGAAGAAGTGGCGACAATCGCTGCGGCTCATCACCCCGACCGGGTATAAGCAGGGCGACACGATGGGGAAGTGGCTGCGGACGATCGGCGGGCAGACGGGGGACGGGAGCGTCGGGCGGCACATTGAAATTTTTTGGCCGAGCGACAACGCGTTCTACGGCGGCACGATCGCGTCGTATCGCAACGAGACGGGCGAGCACGAGGTGTACTACGACGACGGCGGGAAGGAGGTGTTACAGCTTTCGATGCAGACCGTGCGGTGGGGGCCGACGCCGCCGCCGGGCGCGCGGGAGAAGATGCTGGCGGAGGTGGAGGCGCAAAACGCGGCGGCGGCGGCGGAGAAGGGCAAGAAGAAGAGCGGCGGCGGCGGCGGTTCGAATCACCGCGTCGGTTCGAATTCCGCCGCCGCGGACGAGTGGATCGCGTGCGACACGTGCGGAAAATGGCGGCGCGTGCCCGAGGAGGTCGCGAAAGCGCTCGGACCCGACGCCAAGTGGCACTGCGGCGAAAACCCGAACGAGGCGTTCAGTAGATGCGAGGTCGACGAAGAAAAGTGGGAGGAGAAGGCGTGAGGCGAGAGGCGAGGCGAGGCGGGCGGACGCGCGGCGCCGCGACGAAAGACGTAGTGTAACAAATAACTAACTAGCAGCACGAGGGCGTCGCGCGCGGAGCGACGACGCCCTCGACCTTGTACCCGACGAACGAAACCGTTTGCCCACGACGAGCGCGGCGGCGACGGCGGAGACAGACAGGCCGACCTCTCGTCATCACGACTGGTCGGAATCCGAACAGCTGCAGCTTCGTAAAAAAGTCCGGCATCCGGAGCGCGCGTCGTCACTTCCGCGATGGGCGCGGACGGCGACGACGGCGACGGTCGTCGTCCGTCGTCGGTCGAGCTCGTCCCCGCGCGCGACGCGGAGGACGCGTCCGGAGATGAGGACGAGGAGTCCGCGCCGCTGGTGCCGACGCGCGGCGGCGGCGGCGGCGGCGGCGACGGCGACGGCGACGGCGACGGCGTCCCGGAAGAAGCGCGAGGATCTCTGTCCCCGCGCGCGCGAGGCATGGCCATCTACCTCCTCGGCGTCTTCTTCGCCTCGCTCACGGCTCTGTCCGTGCGTCTCATGCACGACGCCGGCGTCCCCGTGGACGTCGTCCTCCTCCTCCGCGCGATCGCCGGCCTCGCGCTCTGCGCGCTCGGGCTCCGCGCGAGAGCCGTGGAGCATCCCCTCGGACGCCGTCGCGGCGTCCTCGTCGCGCGCGGCGTCGTCGGCATGGCCGCGATCTACTGCTTCTTCGCGACGGCGGCGTACCTGCCCCTCGCGGACGCGTCCGTGCCGTCGTTCGTCTCGCCGCTCGTGACGACCATCGGCGCGGCCGCGGTGTTGAGAGAGAGGGTGCCCGCGATCGTGTGGGCGGCGTTTCCGGTGTGCGGCGTCGGCGCGCTCCTCGTGATCCAGCCGTCGTTCTTGTTCGGCTCCGACGCTCGCTCTCTGCGCGCCGTGGGCGTCGGATTCGGTGCGGCGCAGGCGCTGTTCGGCGGCGCGTCGAAGCTGTTCATACGCGTGTTATCCGGCGGGTTGAACGCTCGCGGCGGGGGAACGCATTCGCATTCGCAATCGCGTTCGCGTTCGGAGGCGTTCGCCGCGGCTGCGCCTGGGAACATCCAGAAAGAGCACCCGCTGACGATCATGCTCTACACGAACGCGGTGTGCCTCGTCGGGATGTCGCTGCTCGTGATGACGACCCCGTCCGCGCCGCATATCCATAAAAGCACGGCGACCGGCGCGTACCTCATGTTTTTATGGATCTCGTGCACGCTGACCGGATTCGGAGGACAGCTGTGCGTCACCGCCGCGTTGGGTCTGACGTCCGCGTCGAGCGTCATGCCGATGCACTACACGTCCGCGGTGTACGCCGCGGGCGCGGGGTACTTCATCTTAGGAGAGACGATCGGGTGGACGGAAGGGTTCGGGATCGCGCTGGTGATGGCCGGGTCGTTCGCGGCGTCCGCGGCGGCGTACCGCGAGGGCGAAGAAGAAAAAAAGAAAACGGCGGCGGCGGCGGCGGTCAAGTGACGTCGCCGCGCGTCGGATAGGATAGCGCATCGACAGCGATAGATCGCGTAGTCGTCGTAGTAGTCGTAGGTATGTATTAGAAAAGACTTCGCGTCGTCGTTCACGCCGTTCACGTCGCGTTTCTCTGCTTCCGGCGGTCGCCTCTGGACACGGCTTGGAAACCTTTTTGAATCTTGCTCAGCGATCGACTCGCGCCGCACGCTTGGCAACGGCAGTAGCTCAACCGCGTCGTTCCTTCCCTCACGAGCAGCGTGTCCGCGCTCTTGCACATGTTACAGATGACGTAATCGATGAAGTAATGCCGCAACACGCCCTCGAAAACCTTCGGAAGAAACCGCCCTTTCAAGATCAATCTGTTCTGTCCGTCCAGCGTCCCCGACGTCCCGAGCTCCGCCATGAGGTACTGAATCACGTGCTCCGGCGCTCGGTGCATCGCGTTGCAAATCTCCATGAGGTTCACGAACACCGTCTTCTTCGTGCCTTCGCGCAGGACTTGCGGGGGTTTGATGATCGTCTTCGTCTTCTCCGAGAGCGCCGGGTTCTTCTCGCGTAAGATGCCGAAGACGCGGCCGAGGAGCTCGTCGTAGTGGTAATCGCGCGTCGTCCCGTCCCAGGGCAGCCCCGATCCCGTCTTCGCGGCGGCGCCGTCGTCGCCGTCGCCGCCCTCCGCGTCGTCCTCGTCCTCGTCGACTTTCTTCTTCTTCTTTTTCTTCTTCTTCCCGAACTCGCCGTCGTCGCCGCCGGCGTCGTCGCCGTCGTCGCCGCCGTCCTTGTCCTTCTTGTCCTTCTTCTTTTTCTTTTTCTTCTCGCCGAAGTCGTCCACGGCGAGCTCGTCCATCTCCTCGGTCGCCTCCGCGACGCCGCCGTCCGCGTCGTCCGCGAGGGTCACCTTCTTCTTCTTTTTCTTCTTGAGGCTCGGATCGAAGTCCACCTGCGAGAGGGGGCGAGGGGGAGGCGGTCAGGTCAGACGACGCGCCGCGGCGATCGACCGACCGATCGATCGGTCGATCGCGCGTTCGAAAGGAAAACCTCGCGGCGCGCGCGCCGCCGCGAGACGAAAAGATGGACGCGACCCGCGGGCGGGCGCGGCCGATCGACGGCGACGACGATCGAGCGAGACGCACCTCGGGTTCGTCCTCCGGGTCCGCCATGTTCGGCGAGCGCGCGTGCGTCTCCGTGTGCGCGTCGAGTGCGAGCGCGCGCGCGAGAGTGCCATCGATCGCGGCGCGACTGCACCGCAGCGGTCTATCGTCAAAAGCCCTGCACTGCTCCGCTCGATCATCTTCAGGTTCAACTCCGCGTTTTTCACCCGTATCATGGTTTCAAAAGTTGACTCTAAGCGCCTTTCAACGCTCCGATGAAATCGAGGACAAAATCCGAGAGAGATCTGCCGACTCGCACGAACGAATGTAAGGTTTCGATGCCGCTGGCGAGCGCCCTCGCGTGACAACGGGCGACGCGGCACCCCCGTCGCCCCACGGCGACGCGATGGCGCCTCCGCGACAGAGGAATAGCGAGCGCGCGACGACCGCCGGCGGGTCTCCTCGCGCCGGCGCTCCCGCCAGTCTCGACGACGCGCTCAGACGCATCGACGCGCTCGAGGCGGAGAACGAAGCGCTCGCGGCGGAGATCGGCGCGCTGAAGAAGAGCGCGACCGCGCGCGCCGACGCCGCGCGACGCGCGGACGGCTCGTCGCCGTCGGCGGGGCGTGCGCGTGATCGCGAGCGCTCGGAGCTCGAGGAGCCCGCGTTCATGACGATGACGATGACGAGTCTGCTCGCGCGCGTTCGCCTTCTCGAAGAACGCGAAGCCGCGCGCGTCCCGATCCTCGAACGCTTCGTCGAGGAAGCGCCCGACGTCTTCAACAGGCACGTGCTCCCGCGGCTCGACGACGGCGACCTCGCGGTGCTCGCGATGGTGAACCAGAAGATGCGCGAGTTTGTGTTCGCGTCGCCCGTCGGCGACGTGAGGGACGTCGCGGCGGTGAGGAGACAGCTCGCGAGGGTGCGAAACTTCGTCGGGTCAGTAGGGAGGATGGCGTGGGCGAAGGAGCGAGGGTGTCCGTGGGACAAGGATACGTTCGAGTGCATCGCAGAGTTTGGGAACGTCGAGGTTGCGAAGTGGGCGAAGGAACGAGGTTGCGTGAGCGAACTTGACGTACATCCGGACCTTTGCTACAAAGCCGCTTCCGGCGGCCAACTGGAGATGTTGCAGTGGTTGCGAGCGAACGGCGCTCCGTGGGATGGGTTTAGGTGGAACGAGAAGACTTGCGCCGTAGCCGCGGAAGGCGGCCACCTGGAGGTGCTGCAGTGGGCACGCGCGAACGGCGCTCCGTGGGACTACATGACTTGCGCCCATGCCGCGCGTGGCGGCCACCTGGAGGTGTTGCAGTGGGCGCGCGCGAACGGCGCTCCGTGGGACGAGTCGACTTGCGCCTATGCCGCGGAAGGCGGCCACCTGGAGGTGCTGCAGTGGGCGCGAGCGAACGGCGCTCCGTGGGACGAGATGACTTGCCGCCTTGCCGCTTATGGCGGCCACCTCGAGGTGCTGCAATGGGCGCGGGCGAACGGATGCCCGTGGAACGTGTTCACTTGCGCCTGTGCCGCGAAAGGCGGCCACCTGGAGGTGCTGCAGTGGGCGCGAGCGAACGGCGCTCCGTGGAACAAGGAGACTTGCTATGCAGCCGTGGAAGGCGGCCACTTGGAGGTGCTGAAATGGGCGCGCGCGAACGGCGCTCCGTGGGACGATCTGATTTGCATCAATGCCGCGCTTGCCGGCCACCTGGAGGTGCTGAAATGGGCGCGAGCGAACGGCGCTCCGTGGGACGAGAGGACTTGCGCCGAAGCCGCGAAAGGCGGCCACCTGGAGGTGCTGCAGTGGGCGCGAGACAACGGCGCTCCGTGGGACAAGGAGACTTGCATGGAAGCCGTGCGTGGCGGCCACTTGGAGGTGCTGCAATGGGCGCGCGCGAACGGATGTCCGTGGGACAAGAAGCATTGTGCTGATCGCGCGGTGAACCGCCCGGAAGTGTTTGAGTGGATACGGCAGTCAGTCCCTCTCACGCAGAAGATCGAGTACCTTCGATCGTACGAGGAGAAGAAGAGCATGCTCATGGACCTCGTGCACGCGGTGAAGGGGCTGACGTTGGTCTTCGTGGAGACGGAAACCGGCGTGGATCAGCTCGAGGATTGGCTCAGCCGAGAGGGCTTCCCGAGCACGAGCATCCACGGCTACCGCACGCAGCAAGTGCGCGAATACGCGCTCAATTCCTTCAGGAGCGGGCGGACGCCCATCCTCGTCACGACGGACGTCGCCACGCTCGGGCTCGACGATGTCCCTCACGTCTCGCACGTCATCAATTTCGATCTCCCCTCGAACATCGATGGGTACGTGCACCGCATCGGACTCACGGCAAGGGCGGGGAATAAAGGGCTCGCGACCGCGTTCTTCACGGACAAGGACGCCGGGCTCGCGCGGCCGTTGAGAAGGATCTTGTCCGAGGAGGTGCAGGAGGTGCCGGACTTCCTCTACAAGTTCATATCTTACCCGAAAGGGTGGTCTTGGTTGGATGATAGCCTACAGTAGTTGGATGGTAGCCTACTACCCTAGTCATGCCGTACGACACACCTACACCTACTCCTACGACTATCTCACGACGCTCGGGTCCCAACAGTACTTCTCCGCGCCGTCGCCGTCGCCCATCGCGTCCATCGCCTCCAGCGCGTCGCGCGCCTCTCCGCCCCCGCCGACGGCGCCGGCGGCGGCGTCCATCCGGTCGACGACGTCCGACGCCCGCTCGAGCGACGCGTTCTCCTTCGCGCGTTCCGGCGTCGCGCTCTTCGGCAGCACCGCCACACCTCGACGCAGCGCCCACGCGATCAAACACGTCGCGGGGGCGCATCGAAAGGCCATCGCCGCGCGTTTCACCGCGGCGTCGTCGATCAACGCGCCGACGCCGAGCGGCGAATACGCGACGACGGCGATATCGCGTTCCCGGCAAAACGCCGACGCCTCGCGTTGCGGGCACCGCGGGTGAAACTCGATCTGGTTCACCGCGGGCTTGACCGACGCGTGCGCGAGCAGCTCGGTCATGTGATCGATCGTGTAGTTGCTCACGCCGATCGCGCGGCATTTCCCCGCCGCGAGCGCGCGCTCCATCGCGTCCCACGTCTCTCGTCTCGCGACGCGGTGCGCGGCGCGATCGTCCGGAGACGCCTTCGCCGCCGCGGGCCAGTGCACGAGGAGCAAGTCGAGCGCGTCCACGCGCAGCCGCGAGAGCATGCCGTCGATCGCGCGCGGGGTTTTCTCGCGTCCCATCTCCTTCGGGGCGATCTTGCTCGTGATGAAGACGCGCTCGCGCGGGAACGACGACGACTCGATCGCGTCTCCTACGGCGGCTTCGTTGTTGTAACACGACGCGGTGTCGACGTGGAGGACGCCGGCGTCGCCGATCGCGTCCATCGCGGCGTGGACGCATCGCACGAGGACGTCGCCGCCGATGCGGTGCGTGCCGAGACCGATCCTCGGCATGTGCACGCCGGGGGCGATCTCGATGGACGCGGAGACGGGCATCTCGCGTCGCGTGGCTCACGGCTGTGGGCACCCGGGCGACGGTCCGCTCTTGCGGCGCGATGCCTACCGCGCGCGCGGAGGCGTCTCCGCTCGCGCGAACTCTCGCGCTTGCGTCAGCGCGGCGTACGCGAACCCCAGGGAGAGGACGTACACGGACGCCTGCGACCAGGATCGCGGCGGCCAGTGCATGACGCGCGCGCTCGCGAGTGTGGACTCTGGCTCGCAGAGCGTGGGATCTGACGACGACGACAGGAGTTTCGCGCCGCGTCGTCGTTGTTCGCTCCGGCGAACGAAGAGACGACGCCACAGCGGAGGGCGCCGGGCCGCGGGGATGGGGAACCAGCTGAGCGCCCCCCCGCGCGTGCAGCCCGGGGAGCTCCTCGCTTCGGATGTCCCGAACCTCGTGTACAAGGACAGCCTCGGAGGTGCGTCGTGGCGCCTCTCGTCGGCGTTCGGTCGCGCGCGCGACGTCGCATCTCGTCTCGTCCGCGCGTTCATTCAAACGCCGAGGCGGCGTCGGCGGCGTCTTCGTCGTCCCCGCCGCGTCCATCATCATCGCGGACGCGCTCTGTTCCCTCCCGCGCGCTCGTCCCCCCCTCGCGCGACGCCGAACCCGAACCCAACTCGCACCGCGCGCGTCCGACACCCCCCTCCTCCCTCCCCTCCCTCCCTCCCTCCGCGACGTTCGTCGAATCTCGCCAGGCGGACGTTTCCTCAAGACTTTCCTCGTCCGCCACGACGAGCCCGGCACCTCCGGCGGCGGCGGCCTCGTCGTCGTGAAAGCCTACCTCAAACGCGGGTCCCCGGACGCGCTCTCGCGCGAAGAGATCGAGACGCACGCGAAGAACCTCCGGACGTCGCGCGAGCGTCTGCTCTCGCCGCCGCCGACGCTGCCGCACTGCGCGCCGTTCGCGCGCGAACTCGAGACGGACAGAGCGTTGTACTTGATGCGCCAGTACGCGCACGGCACGCTGTACGACCGCCTCTTCACCCGGCCGTTCCTCTCGCGCGTCCAGAAGAAGTGGATCGCGTTCCAGCTGCTGCACGCGCTGAGCGAGTGCCACGAGCGCGGCGTCGTCCACGGGGACGTCAAGTGCGAAAACGTGTTGCTCACCTCGAGAGGGTGGGCGTTCCTCGCGGACTTCGCGACGTTTAAGCCCGGGTCGCTGCCCGCGGATAACCCCGCGGATTACTCGTATTACTTCGACACGGGCGGACGAAGGCGGTGCTACGTCGCCCCGGAGCGGTTCCGCGACGGCGGCGGGGATCGAACCGGCGGCGGCGCGACGCCCGCGGCGGACGTCTTCTCCCTCGGCTGCGTCTTCGGCGAGCTCTTCCTCGACGGCGCCGCGACGTTCGACTACTCGCAGCTCCTCGCGTATCGACGCGGGGAGTTCGACCTTCGCGCGGCGCTCGCGCCCGTGGGAGACGATGACGTCGTGGACATGATCGCGGAGATGTGCGCGAGGGACCCGGCGGCGCGACCGAGCGCGAAGGCGTGTCTCGACGCGCGATCGAAGCGCGGGGGTTTTTTCCCCGCGTATTTCGACGCGTTGCACGACTTTTGCGGAGGGTTGCTGACCGCGGACGCGGACGAGGTGGCGGCGGAGGTGAGACGCGCGTTCGATCCGCTCATGGCGGCGATCGTCGAGGAGGAGTGGAGGAAGGATGGAGGCGGCGGCGAGACTGCTTCCCGCGCGACGCCGTCGCCGCGGAGTGTCGCGCCGTCTCTGAAGGAATTTGACGGCGGCGGCGACGGCGGCGAAGACGCCGACGAGGAGAAAGAGTCGTCCATGGCGGGGTTGATGGCCGACATCTCGAACCTCGCGGTCACGAGCGACGCCGGCGGCGGCGGCGACGGCGGCGACGACCTGTTCGCCGCGTCGCGGTCGGTCGATTCGCCGTCCGCCTCCGCCTCCTCCTCCTCCCGCGCCGGCGCCGGCGCCTCCCCGCTCGACGCCGTCGCCGCCGCGGGCGCGACGTGCCCCGGCGCCGCGCTCGTCGCGTCGCTCGTCTGCGCGACCCTCCGCGGCGCGTCGTCGCCGTCCGCGCGGCGCGCGTTGCTAAAACTCCTCGCGCGCGTCGCGGCGGTCGCGGACGACGACGCGCGTTTGCAAGTGATCGTGCCGCACGCGATCGACCGCGTCGGCGACACCGCCGCCGTCGTCCGCGCCGCGGCGGTGAAGACGCTCGCGTCGACGCTGCCGAGGGTGAGATCGCACCCGGCGTCGGACGCGAAGGTGTTCCCGGAGTTCATATGGCCGTCCCTGAGCGGGCTCGCGAGGGACCGGGAGGAGAGCGTGAGGGTCGCGTACGCCGCGGCGCTGGCCGCGCTGGCGAGCGCGAGCGAACGGTTTTTACGACGCGGCGGCGGCGGCGGCGGGAGCGGCGACGAGGAAGCCGCCGCCGCCGAGGTCGCGTCGTTCGAGGACGATCTCGCGGGTCTACGCGACGTCGTTCGCGGGATCGTGCTCGATTACCTGACCCCGGACGGCGCGCCCGGAGACTATCGAAACGACGCGGCGGCGGTTCCGGCCGCGCGGACGGCCCGTCCACGCGCGCGGCGCTGCTCTCGGACGCGCCCGCGCTCGCGTCGTTCTTCGGCCGGGCGGACGCGAACGACTTTCTGTTGCCGCTTTTGATCACGTGCCTCAACGACCGCGCGTGGTCGCTGCGCGCGACGTTCTTTCGGCGGATCGCGTCCGTCGCGAGTTTCGTGGGACGGGAGCCGTGCGAGGCGTTCTTGCTGCCGTGCATCGAGCGGTGCCTCTCCGACGCGAGCGACGTCGTCGTCGCGAGAGCGTTGGAGTGCCTCGGCGATCTCGTCGCGCCGCCCGAAGAAGCCTCCGTCGACGAAAACGTTCCGCCGGGGAGCGTCGCGTTCGCCGCTTCCTCCGCGCCGCCGATGATTCTCCAGAAACGCTCCATCGTCGCCGCGGTAAAGCGCGCGGCGCCGGCGACGTTACACCCGTGCGCGTCCGTGCGCGTCGCGGCGACGCGGTTCGTCGCGCGCGCGTGTCGACGCTTGGGACCCGCGGACGTCTTCGCGAGCGTATTGCCACACGCGACGCCGTTCCTGTCTGAAAATTTCGCGAAGTGCCCTGGCCCCGCGCTGTCTGGGCTCCTCGCGGACGAGTCGACGCTGCGCGCCGCGCTGAGAACGCCGCCGCGGCGGCGCGCGTTCGACGCCGCCGTGGACGCCGCGGCGGGGATCTACCGCGGCGAGACGGCGACGCCGTCGGACGACGACGACGCGTCGATGGACCCGGAGGCGGCGAGGGAAGAGAGGCGCGCGCTCGCGGCGCTCGCGACGTACGTCCAGAGCTTCGCGGGCGCGCGGAGGGCGCAGGACGCGGAGACGCCGGCGTCTATCGTGTGCGGCGGGCTGACGCGAGAGGCTGTCGCGGCGGCGGCGCGCGGCGGCGGCGGCGGCGGCGGTGGCGCGGACCTCGGAGGGTCGGCGGACGCGCGCGGGTCGACGAACCCGCTCGATGGGATGATGAGCATGAACCCTCTGAACCTTCACGACCCTTCCTCGCGCGGTCTCGACGCCGCCGCCGCGACGCCGAGCGACGACGGCGGGGCGTTTTCGTACGCGTCCCCGGGGGGACTCGGCGGGTTCGGCGCCGCCGGGTCGGGGATGCAGTTTTCGTCGTTCTTCGAAGACGCCGCGAGCGCGAGCGCGGGCGGCGGCGGCGACGCGAAATCGGCGGGCGCGGGCGGCGGCGGCGCGGACCTCATCGACGACGACGCGTGGGCGGCGGTCTTCGGCCCGCGGTCGCCGCCGCTGGTGCCTCCGGGCGCGCGCGCGCCGCCGCCGCCGGTGGGGCACCTGTACGGCGGCGGCGGCGCGGCGACGGCGAAAGAAGCCCCGTCGGCCGCGAAGGGGCACGCGCGCACGTCCTCGGGCGCGGATTTCGTCGCGGAGGAGAACGGCGAAGACAAACCGTCGATCGTCGCGGGTGAGTACGCGTCCGGGACGACCGGAGACGCGTGGACTCCGCGCGGCGTCCTCGTCGCGCACCTCACGGAACACCGCGGCGCGGTGAACGCCGTCGCGGCGTCGGACGACGGCGCGTTCTTTGTCACCGGGAGCGACGACGGATGCTTAAAGGCGTGGGACGTCGCCAACGCGGAGCGGGACGCGTTCTTTCGGTCGAGGGCGACGTACGGAGGGCATCGCGCGGGGGCGTCCGCGTCCGCGTCCGCGTCCGACGCGGCGTGCAAAATCACCGCGGCGGCGGCGTTATCAGACGACGGCCACACGATCTGCTCCACCGCGGACGACGGCAGCGTGCACGCGTGGCGCGTCGAGCTCGCGGCGGGCTCGGGCTCGGGCTCGGGCTCGGGACCCCCGGGGTCCCGGCCCGCGAGCGCGAGCGAGGTGGCGCGCGCGTCCCCGAACGAGGGCGCGTGCTCCGCGGTGATTAAACTCTCCGCCAACGTCGCGTGCGTCGCGACCGAACGCGGCGGCCTCCGCGGCTGGGACCTCCGCGCGCCTTTGCGCGGCGACCGCGACCGCGGCCGCGGGACTCTCGGTAACGCGTTCGCGGTCGACGTCCCGCCGCGGCTCGGCGCGGTGACCTGCGTCGTCGCGGAAGCCGGCGCGTCGCCTCGGTGGACGTGCCACGGGACCTCCGCGGGCGCGTTGTGCCTCGTCGACGCGCGGTTCGGTCTCTCCGTCGCGGAGTGGCGGCACCCGCACGGCGCGTATTCGCGCGTGGACGCGATCGCTCTCGGCGTGGACGGCGTCGGCGCGGGCCACAAGAACGACGCGGCGCTCGTGTGGGCGGCGGCGGGCGGGGACGAGCTCGCGCTGTGGGACGTCGGCGTCGGCGCGTGCCGGAGAGTCGCGCGGGTGCTGCGGCCGCCGTCGGAGACGACGGCGCGGACGATGCCGAGCAGTTTGCGTCGCGGCGGGAGGCTGACGCGCGCGGCGGCGACGTGCGGCGATCCTCGCGCGTGGGCGAAGGCGAAGGCTGGCGGCGGCGGCGGGGTCGAAGGCGGTGGCGGCGGCGGCGGAGACGAAGACGGCATGCTCGATTTCCGCGTCGACGACTTGAAGGAGACGACGGGCGCCCCCCGGAGCGAAGGCGCGCGGTGCCTCTTTTCGCTCCCGAACGGCGCGCTCCTCGCCGGCGGCGGCGACGCGTGCGTGCGTCTGTGGTGCCCGCTCGAGCCCGCGCGCGGGCGCGTCGTGCACGGCCCGCTGGGGCGGAACGATCGACCGAAGCACGAGGAGGTGTACGCGTCGAATTTACCCGTCGCGCAGGAGCGTCCGTCGGCGAGCGCGGAGGCTGCGGCGGCGGGGGCGGGGCTCCGGGCCGGCGGCGACGGCGGCGTCGCGGAGGCGATCGCGTCCGCGGCGGGGCGGCACGACTGTCACAGGGACGCGGTGCTCGCGATGTGCGTCACCGGGTTCGGGACGGGGAGGGTGCTCGTCACCGGCGGAAGGGACGCCGCCGTGAAGGTGTGGAAGTGACGACGTAGCTAGAACGTTTGCAAACGTTTGACGAGGAAATTTTAGAAGGACCGAACGCCGAACCGAACGCTTCGTGCCGCGCGTTGTAAAAGTCGTGCCTTCGCGCACCACAAGAGGGAAGGGTACTAGCTATCGACAAAACAAATGTAACGCATTATCACAAAGCGTTACGATACGATCACGCGGCGTTCGGATCCCCGCGCCCGCCGCGGCGTCCGCCGAAGAGGTAGTTGTACAACACGTACATCAGAAGGACGTTCATGAGCACGCGGACGATCATGGCGGCGCCGCCCATGCCGTATCCCATGCCGTACCCCCATCCCCCGAACGACGGCATGAAGAAGAACGACGGCATGAAGCCGACGCCGGTCGCGCCGGTTCGCGGCGGGCGGGACGCGCCCGCGCCCGCGCCGACGCCGCCTCCCATCACGCCGCCGCCGACTCCTCCTCCTCCCATGGATCGCGCCGCGGACGGGCGGAACGAGCTGCCGCCCATGCGTCCGCCGCTGCGTCCGCCGCCGCGTCCCGCGAGCGCGGGGGACGCGTCGAAGAGCGCGATGACCGACGCGAGCGCGAGCGCGGCGACGACGCGCCGCGCGCGAAGAAGGTTCGACGCGAACGTCTCCAGAGCGTCCTTCGCCGCGGCGCGGACGGCGACGACGTCGACGCGCGGCGGGGAGGACGCGGTCGCGGACACGGACGCGCGCCGCCGCCCCGGGACTTCCTCGCCGGAGACGACGCGGACGATGCGCGATCTCGACGGGTCCTCGTTCACGGCGCGCGCGCGGACGGAGACGACGACGCGCGTCGACGTCGTCGCGTCGGCGTCGCCGGTAGATCCCCTCCTGCTACGAGTAGGGATCTGGGACGCGCGGTGGATCCGGGACGAGAGCGCGCGCGCGCGCGCCGCGGACGGCGCGACCGCGCCGCGCGTGGATGCGATCACGACGGGCATCGCGACGGGTTTCGCGCTGGCGTCGGGCGTCGCGCGGCGGGAGAGTGGCGCGGCGTCGAGACGACGGCCGGCGAGGGCCCACGATTTATTAATCCTTGTCCTCGCTGGCAGTTCTCGCGGCGAATCTTCCATGACACGTTTACACGTGTCAGCCACTTCGAGATGCGCGCGGTCGCGGTCGCGGTCGCGGGCCGACCGCCGACGCACGTCGCGTCCCCGCGCGCGCTCACGCGCGCGCGCGGGTCCATCGCGCGGCCGCCGCGCGCGACGGAGAAGGACGCGGACGCGGACGCGCCCCTCTCCGCGCGCGTCGCCGCGCCGGACGTGAAGAAAAAGAAAGACGTCGACGACGACGACGACGCGTCGATCGCGGCGTCGATGGCGGCCGCGCGCGCGTGCGAAGCCTCCGGGATGTCCCCCGGCGCGGGCCTCTCCTCCGCGGAGGACCAGGCCGAGGCCGCGTTCGCGGACATGATCAACACGACGGTGGACGTCACCGGCGAGGCGCTGGACGCGGACGCGCGCGCGAGGCTCGCGGAGGGGGGGCGCATGGACGGCGCGTCGACGAGCAGGAAGAGCGGCGGGATGTGGAGCGACGTTCGAGATTTGTTCGGCGCGTTGGGGAAGGGCGCGCACATCGTGCGGCAGAAGAACGGAAGGGTGTGACGCGACGACGAGCCGGCGACGGAACGAACGACGCCAGCCGCGCGCCCTCGTCGATCGCGTCTGATGAGAACCTGTGCTAGACTAGACCGCCGCGGGATGTTTATCCACGAGCCACCGCCCGGAGCGCGGCGACGGCCGACGCGTCTCCCCTCTCGCCGTCTCCGGCGGCGCCGCCTTCGCCGCCTTCTCCTCCTTCTCGAGCTCGCGCAGCGCATCCTCCGCGCGGCGAAGCGCCTCTCTCGCGCTCGGGCGTCGCGCCGCGTCGAGGTCGAGCATCGCGTTCGCGAGCGACGCGAGTTTCTCGCCGTGCGTCTCCGGCTCGAGCGGCGCGTACGCGCCCTCTGCGACCGCGCGAAACACGTCCTTCACGCTCGGCGCCGTCGCCGCCGCCGTCTTCTTCTTCTTCTTCTTCTTCCTCATCCTCTCTTTCGTCGTCGTAACGTCCCCATTCGCGCCGTTACTCCTCCGCGCGTCGTTCTCCCTCCCTCTACTTCCGTCGACACTTTTTTCGTCGAACGGCGACCGCGACGACGCGAGCTCGTACAGCAGACACCCCAGGCTCCACACGTCCGCGGCGAGTCCGTACCCCCCTCCCCTCACCACCTCTGGGGCGAGGTAGAACGGCGTCCCGACCTTACTCCTGAGCGGCCTCGCGTCGTCGGCGTCGGGCACGCGCACCGCGAGTCCCAGGTCCGCGAGTTTGACGTCCGCGAACGACGACGACGACGACGACGAGTCGCAGTCGCCGAGCAAAACGTTCGCGGGCTTGACGTCTCGGTGCGCGATCCCGCGCGCGTGGAGGTGCGCGAGGCCGCGCGCGACGCCGCGGAAGATGGTCCACACGTCGCGCGCGCGAAAGCGCTCGCGCGCTCGCCGTCGCCGGCGTATCGCTCCTCGCAGGTCGCCGCCGCGCGCGAGCGGGAAGATCATCACGAGCGCGTCCTCGGACGCGAACGCGTCGAGGAGGAAGACGACGTTGTCGTGTCGAGGCAGCGACGCGCAGAGGTTCAGCTCGCGCGCGCATCGCTCGCGCTTCTTCGCGGAGTGTCCGGTCGTGTCGACGCGCTTGACCGCGACGGCGACGCCGTCCGCGCGTCGCGCGCCCTCGAACACGCTCGCGTACCCGCCCTTCCCGATGCGGCGCGCGTCGGCGATGTCGTAGAGGCGCGGCAGGTCGCGCATCGCGCGCGGGAGCGGCGGCGACGACGACGACGACGACGACTTTTTCTTTGTCCTCGCGTCGTCGTCGTAGCTCGTCGTCGTCGTCGCTCGCGATGCGGCGGCGGCGACGCGCGCGTCGCGATCGCCCGCCGCGCGCGCGTCCCTCTCCGTCGTCGTATCGCACGACGTCGAGCCCGCGCTCGCGATCGGCGGGCGGTTCGGGGAATCGTGCGGCGACGACGGCGCCGCTTTCGTCGCGCGGCGAGCCGAGCGCTCGACGCGGAGAGGCCGCGCGTCCGAGGACGACGCCATCGATCAATCAGATCCTCGTCTTCGTCTTCGTCCCGCGCGCGCGCGTTCTCGCGTTCTCGCGCGCTCGCGCTCTCGCGTTCTCGCGCTGTCTCCGTCGCCTTCGCTCACTCCTGGCGCTGATATCTTCGACGCGGCATGGCGCGACGCGTGCGGCGCGCGCGGCGGTCTCGCGACGCGAACGCCGCGCGAGACGCGTTGACCTTTTTTTGGCAGCGCGCGCCGGTTCAGGTCGCCAAACGCGACCGATGAAGAATCGAAACTGAATCCGATCCGTCGCATTTGCGTTTGAACGAACCGCGGAGCGCTGCCGTCCGCGGAACGCTCGAGCGCGTCGACCTACGGCGGGGATGAATCACCGCGCGCAGCCCCGGGCGCGCGTCCGCCGCCGTGGAGCCGCCGTGGAGCCGCCAAATCCCGACATGCCGCCCGCGGTGGCGCCGACGCACGGCGTCACGCGCGGGCAACCCAACACGTCGGACACGAACAAGCTGCGACGGCCGTCGCGCGCGGGCGCGGGCGCGCCCGTCGTCTCTCGGGGGAAACCCGCCGCGCCCTTCGACGCGTTCGCCACGGCGAAATCGCGTCGCGCCGCCGCGCTCCCGATCGGCGCCGCGTCGTTCCTAAACCCTAAGCCGTCGCACGTGGCGCGGAGCTCTCCGGACGGGAAGCTCGCGCGCGACGGGGGGCTCGGCGGCGACGACGACGACGTCGTCGCGAGGGCGTCGCTGCTGCCGCGCGCGGCGATGAGCGTGGAGCCCGCGACGTCGATCTCGGCGTCCGGCGACGAGAATCAGGTGCGTTCTATACACTGGTTCCCATACGACCGCGTTGGCGTGGTGAACGCCGATCCTTAAGGACTTTTCCCGGCGCATCTCTCCGCACACCCCTCGCTTTCAATCCCCGACCGCGACGCCTTTGAACGCCCACTGACGCCTTTGAACTCCACCCCGCCATCGCTTTGTATGGAACGACCCTCATCAGTCCGCGACGCACGCGCTGCAGGTCTTCCTCATCGAGCTCGGACTCATCGCGATGGGGATCGTGGACACGCTGCAGGTTGGCCACGTCAGCGACACCGCGCTCGCGGCGGCGTCGCTGGGAGGCACGATGACGTGGCTCGTCGTCGTCACGATGAACGGCCTCGTGGGCGCGCTCGATCCGTTGACGTCGCAGGCGCGTCCCGTCCGTTTCTATCTCACACTGGTCCCCGTACGACCGCGTCGGCGTTGTGGACGCCGTTCCTTAAGGACTTTGCCGGGCGATTCTCTCCGCCCACACCTCGCTTTCAATCCCCACCCTCGGCGCCTTTCGACTCGGACTGACGCGCCTTTGAACTCCACCCCGACGTCGCTTCGCGCGGACCGTCGGCGGCTCTCAGGCGCACGGCGCGAACGATTTCGACGCGGTGAAAAAACATCTCCGCTCGGGCGTCCGCGCGGGGTGCTTCCTCGCCGCGTGCGCGGCGTGCGCGCAGTTCATGGCGCACCCGCTCTTCACGCTGTGCGGGCTGCCGCCGCTGCACGCGGCGGCGGCGGCGGGGTACTGCCAGATCGAAGCGTGGGGGATGCTTCCGGTTGTTTTATTTCAGACGTTTCGGTTGTCGCTCTCGGGGACGAATCTCTTCGCGCCGCTGGTGTACGCGATCGTGCTCAGCAACGTCGCGAACGTCGCGATGAACGACGTCCTCATCTTCGGGAGTGAAGGCGTTTTGGGTTCGATGTTGACGCCGTTCTTAGGCGGCGGCGTGATCCCCGCGATGGGACTCGATGGCGCGGCGTGGGCGACGACGGCGTCGCGGTGGATTCTTTTGGCGTCGCTGCTTCTCTTCGCGCGGAAGCCTCTGGCGAAACGCGACGCGTTTCGAGGGCCTCTGCACCGGAGAGGCGACGTGGCGTCCGCGGCGACGCTCATGCGGCAGGGCTTGCCGATCGGCGGGCAGATGTTGCTCGAGTTTGGCGCGTTCGCGACGATGCAGATCTTCGCCGGTCGGTGCGGCACGACGGAAGCCGCGGGACACGCGATCATTCAGGCGCGTTCTATTTTCACACCGGTCCCCATACGACCGCGTCTGCGCGGTGCACGCCGTTCCTTAAGGAAGGACTTTTCTTCCCGGCGCGCGTTTCTCTCTGCCCACCCCTCGCTGTCAATCAATCCCGACGCGCCTCGACGCCTTCAACTCCATCACCTGACGCCTCACGACTCCGCCCCGACGTCGCCTCGCGCGGAACCGCCCTCTGCCCTCAGTGCCTCACGGACATCTCGTACGTCCTCCCGCTCGCGCTCGGCGCCCTCGGCGCGGTGCAAGTCGGTCAGAACGTGGGCGCGGGCGATCAGGATGGCACGAACAGCGCCGCGCGCGTCGCCATCGTCCGCGGCGCGATCGCGGTCGGCATCAACGCGATCATCTTCGTCGCCCTCGGGCGGAACATCTGTTGGTGGTTCACCGACGACGCCGCCGTGCACGCGGTGGCGGTGGCCATCTTACCCGTCATCGCCGTCTACCAGGCCGCGGACGGCCTGCGCGTCGTCGGCGGTGGGTGCCTGCGCGGCGTCGGGATGCTGCGGGAGATGATCGCCGCGGATTTCATCGGGTTTTGGTGTCTCGGGATACCGTGCGGGGCGTGGCTGTGTTTGGGGACGACGTGGAAGGTGTACGGGCTGTGGTGGGGGTTCGCGTTCGGCGTCGTCGTCGTCTTGTGGCCCATCTTGCGGCTAGCGTGGAGAGTGGGGGAGGATAAGCCCGTGGAGAGGTTCGACGGGGGGGCGGTGGGGCCGAGGGCGGCGTGACGTGACGGGGGGATGGGGCCGTCGTTATTAGCGTCAACGCGCGAGCGAGCTCGCGCGTTGACGACGAGTAATAACTTACGAAGGTAATATTAGGTCATTGTGTTCGACTCGCGATCGATCACAACGCGCGCCGCGCATGGCGTCCCACCACGCGGGCGGCGTCGCCGACGAGACGCTCCCGCTGCTCGCGAAGCCCGCAGCGGGGGCTTCCTCCGCGTGGCACGACGCGGGAACCTTCGGCGGCGCGAGCGCGGGCGCGAGCGCGGACGCGTCGTCGTCGTCGTCGTCGTCGTCGTCGTCGTCGTCCCTCGCGTTCGACCCGCTCGACCACCTGTCCGTCCTCGCGTGGATGTTCTACGACGTCGCGTGGACGCAGGAGTGGAAACACGTCCTGTGGCCGTTCCTGCTCACCGCGGCGTGCTTCACGCACGCAATCTTCCTCGCGAGGAACGACGCGATGGAGTTCCCGCACGCGTGCGCGACCGCGGCGTGGCTCGTCGGCGGCAACGGCGCGTGGACGTACATGGATTACCATCCCGGAATCGCGTCGGACTCGACGAAGCTCGCGGCGTGGCGCGCCGCCGCGATTGGATTTCTCGCGCTGCCCATCGCGATCGAGGCGTTCGTGTTGGCGAGGATACGACGGCGTCAGCGTGGCGCGGGCGGCGGCGGCGGGGGAGGGGGTGGGGGGAAGAAGGGCGCGATGTACGAGAGGCGTAAAGCGGCGGCGGCGGCGGCGTCGGTTTCGGCGGAGAAGCCGCCGCCCGCGACCGCGACCGCGACCGCGACCGCGGGCGTCGTCGCGGGAATGACGGACGCGTTCACCGCCTCCGCGATCGCCGCGTGGGCGGCCGTGGACCTCGTGAACTTCCTCACGGAGATACGCGACGGCCGCGACGGCGGCCAGGACGTCGGCGCGAGCGTCGCGGACGCGGCGTCGTGCGCGGCGTGGGCGGCGCTCGCCGCCGTCGTCGTCGCGCAGACGGCGTATTTCCTCTGGCGCAGATATAAGGTGCGTTCTATACACTGGTTATCATACGACCCCGTTCGCGTGGTGAACGCCGATCCTTAAGGACTTTCGCCGTCGTCTCTCTCCGCCCACCCCTCGCTTTCAATCCCCGCCCTCGGCGCCTTTCAACTCCACCTGACGCCTTTCAACTCCACCCCGACGTTCGCTTGTATAGAACGGCCCTAATAACCTTATCGACGATCGATCGGGGACGGCCTTCGCGCTCGCGCTGTTCGGCTGGGCGATCGCGAGCGCGGTGGGGGACGCGGGGCAGAGGTTCGCGGCGAGCGCGCAGCGCGCGGAGGCGTTGTTCGCGGCGCCGAGCTCGGGGGAGAACGGAAAGTGGTGGAAATCGTGGATCATCCTCGTCGCCGCCGCGCCGCTCGCGGCGGGGCTCGCGCGGTGGGCGGTCGCGCGGGCGACGACGAGATAGTATAACCTCATCGGGGGAACCTTAATAGTGGCGCGACGTAGACTGTAGTGGTGGTGGTGTTTCGACGACGACGTAGCACGTGGGGTGTTACGCGTCGTACGAACTTAGGCAGTACGAACTTAGGGCACGTACAGTACGAACTTAGGGCACGTACAGTACGAACTTAGGGCACGTACAGTACGAACTTAGGGCACCCCAAAGAGTTGCAAAAAACCTTCGCGCGTCGCACACCGCGTCGCGCGCGCATCTCCCCGCGGGCGCGACGACGCGAAGATGCCGTATCGCCTCGACCTGCACGGCGGCGAAGGCGAAGAGCATCACGTCGTCAAGTCGTGGACGCTCATCCCGGGAAAGTACGTCGTCGCGCGCGCCCTCGGTCTCTCTCTCTCGTCGTCCCGCCCGATCCCGACGAGGGGTGCCAACTTTGCCCTCTCGCGAGATCTGACCACCCCGCCCCGCCCCTCGCAGGTACACCGTCGGGCGCAAGGACTGCACGGTGACGATCGCGGACGACCCGTCGATAAGCCGCGTGCACGCGGAGATCATCGTGAAGAAACAAAAGCCGGACGACGCCGCGCTCGCCGGGACGGTCCCCACGGTGCTCGTGCGAGACCTCGGGAAATTCCACACGCGCGTCGACGGACGCAAGGTGGGCAAGTCCTCCCCGGACGGCGCGGTCGCGCTGCCGTGCGCGGCGGGGAAGAGCATCGCGACCGCGACGTTGGTCTTCGGGTGCAAGACGCCGACGCCGACGACGGCGACGCTGACGCACGTCCCGATCGTGCTCCACGTCCTCGGCGGCGAGGAGACGCGCGTCGAGAACGACGAGATCGTCGCTCTCGCGGAGGAGACGGGGTTCGTTCTATACACTGGTTCCCATACGACGGCGTCGGCGTGGTGAACGCCGTTCCTTAAGGACTTTCGCCGGCGCGTCGCTGCGCCCACACCACGGTTTCAATCCCCGCCCTCGACGCCTTTCAACTCCAACTGACGCCTTTCAACTCCACCCCGACGTCGCTTTGTAGGTGCCGCGTGCGTCTGGGCGCCGGCGCCGGCGATGGATCCGGATCTGGATGCGGGTTCGACGCGTGCACGCATCTGCTCGTGCGCGACCACTCCGTCGCGTCCGCGAGCCGCGGAGCGATCGACGCCGCGTTCATCGCGAGGTTCAAGCGGTCCGGGATCCCCGCGGTCGGGACGTCGTTCCTGAGGTGCGTTCTATACACTGGTCCCCATACGATCGCGTTGGCGTGGTGAACGCCGATCCTTAAGGACTTTTGCATTCGTCTCTCTCCGCCCAGGGTCCCACGCTTTCAATCCCCGCCCTAGATGCCTTTCAACTCCACCTGACGCCTATGAACTCCACCCCGACATCGCTTCGTATGGAACGACCCTGAGCGCGCTGCGCGAGACGCGAAAAGACGCGTCGGCGCCGCCGCCGGACGCGGCGGCGCATCCGCCGCCGGCGGGCTGCGACGCGTGGGTGTTCGACGGCGGCGGCGGCGACGCGGGGGAGAACGACGACGACGACGACGGCGGCGGCGGCGGCGACGACGACGCGACGACGGACGGCGGCGACGACGCGATGATGAGCCCGGAGATGGACTCTCGCGGGAGCGACGGGACGACGACGGCGGCGCCGGCGGCGGCGCCGGCGGGTCCTCCGTCGCGCGACGTGTCGCTCGCGGCGGCGACAGCGGCGGCGGCGGAGTGGGGGCGGGAACGGCGGCGCGCGCGCGAAGCGAACGCGCCGGACACGCCGCCGGCGCCACCGCGAGACGAGGCGGCCCCCGCGCCCGCGGCGAAGAAGAAAGAATACGCCGCGGCGGAGGGCAAGGCGACGGTCGTGCACGAGCCGCTGATAGTCACGCCGAAGAAGCGCGACGCCGTCGGGGCATCCGCAGCCGCCGGCGTGAACTTCAAGAAGTTCAAGAAGACGGTCCACGGCGGCGGCGGGGCCGACGCGGCGGCCGCGCGGACGACGGCGACGACGGCGGTGAGACTGCTTCCCATACGACCCCGTTCGCGTGGTGCACGCCGTTCCTTAAGGACTTTTCCCGTCGTCACTCTTCACCCGCGCTTCCCTTTCAACGTTTGACCGGTAAGACGTTCGACTGACCGATCGCTTCACCCACGCAGGCGGGTCGACGACGGAAGCTCGTCGTCAAGTACGCGGACGACGCGTACGACGCGCTGCATCAGTGGGAGGACGCGACGGTCGCGGCGAGGCACGCGGCGGAGCGCGCCGCGGATAGCGTCGCGGACGATTTGTTCGAGGGGGGTCCCGGAGGCGCGACTGGGGGGACGGCGCGGCGGCGGGCGCCGGCGAAACCTCGCGCGCGGAAACCGAGGGCGTGACGAGAGAAAGAGTCCGAACGCGCAAACGAGCGAGGCACGACGCGACGAGACAGACGACGACGCGAAAGATGTAGAAGCTAGCTAGCGACGTCGACGTATTACAACCAGCGCGAACGGACGGACGCGTAAGTAACGGACATTAACCAGGCGTTTTCGGCGCCCCCGGCATGCCCACCTCCGAACGCGTCTGCGCCATCATGCTCTCCAACCGCTCATTCTTCCATCGCTCCGGAAGGTCCCTATCCTGCGCGGGACGGAACATCTTCTCGTACTTCGCGCTCCCCTTTTTGATCGCGTCCATCTCCGCCTTCGCCCTCTCGAGCTCCTCAGCCTTGTGGTCCGTGATCCGCTGCCCGATGCGCATCGCGCGCACGTGATCCTTTTGGTTCTTCGAGAGCATTCCGCTCTGCACTAAAACCTTCGCCTCGAGCTCTCGCGCGAGCGTCCACGCCGCCTGCGCGTCCTTCCGCGCGGCCATCATCTCCATCGCGTGCGTATCCTTCGCCTCGTGCATCTCTTTCTGATGCCCCGACCGTATCGACAGCAACGTCGCCTGTTGCCTCAGTTTTTCCTCCTCGAATTTCGCCCTTAACTTCACCGCGTCGAGCGCCGCCTTGGCGGTGTCCTCCGCCCTGCGCTCGCTCTGCTCCTTCGCCACCATGAGCTCCGTCTCGCTCTGCTTCAAGCTCCGGTTCAACGCCGCGAGCTCAGCCTCGCACCGCCCGAGTTTCCCCTCGCGCGCGAACACGTCGCTTCGCAGCGCCTTGACGTCTTTCGCCCACTCCTCGTTTTGCGTCGTCAGCCTCCGACTCTCCGCGAGTCTCGACTGCAAATCCCTCTGCAGCATGTCCCTCTCTTGCTTCACGACGTCGAGTTCGCCCTGCAGAGACACCACCTCGGAGGCTTTCGCCCAGTCGTGCCACTTCCGGAGCTTCTCCGCCTCGTCGATCGCCGCGGTCGTCTTCGCTTGCAGCCGCCCGTTGTTCCCCTCGAGCGTCTCCGCTTGGAGCCGAAACTTCATCGCGTCCGCGCTCACCTTGGCGTAATTCCCGCGCAGATCCTCCAGCTGCACGCGCATCTTCGCCGCCTCGATCGCCTGCGTGTTGCTCATGTCCTTCAGCCTCCGCACCTCGTCGTCGCTGTCGTCGCGCGACGCCGTCAGGTCCTTCAGTTCCTCCGTCTTCGCCTTCACCTCCGCGCGCAACTCCGCCTGCGGAAACGCGCGCGTACGATTGGTCAGCGAGCGATCAGATTCGATGACGTGGCATATCGTGTGGCTGGCGCGCAACGAACGGCGAGGACGAAGAAAGACGGCCGTCGAGGCCGAAGAAGTCAAGTCGAGTCCTCGAGAAGCGACGCCCAACGCGCGAACGGGTGGGGTCGTATGGCGAGTAGTCTGATTGATTGACGCGCACCTCCGCGGCGCGCACGCCGTCGAGCTCAGCCTCGAGAAACTCGAGCTGCGTCGCGAGCTCGTCCCTCTCCTTGATCCGCTCCTCCTTCTCCTCGCACTCGATCTCGAACCCGCGCGTGCGCTCTTCGAGGTCTTCGCGCAGGCCCTTGATCTCGGCCTCGTCGTCCAATCGGAGGCCGCGCATCTCCGCGACGTCGCCGCGCGCTTGACGCAAGTCATCCTCCAGCCGCGCGACGCGCGATTTCAACGGCGCGATGGTGGCTTCGTTCGCGTCCGCGCGCGCGAACGCGACCTCGATCTTATCGCGGATGTACTGTCGTGGGCGTGGACGCGGGGGGGAGGGAGGGAGGTGGACGATGAGATGCGCGCGGGGACGACGACGTTCGAAGAGACGAAACGAACGATGGATCGACCTGATTTCGGGAAAGCCGTTGAAACGCGGCGCGGGCGGGCCGCGGAATCTCGCGCGGGGACGCACCAAGACCGCGTCGTTGACGCCCGGCCACGCGACCGCGGTGGTGTCCAGAACCTGCGATGGGGCGATAAGCGCGTCAGCGTGATGACGATACGATACTCGCGCGGGGTGCGTCGGACGCGGCTTCGGACGCCGCGCGACGGGCGGACGGACGCGAGGGCTCGGTCAACAATCTATCTTCTCGTCGACGCGCCTTCAGGACGTCGAGCTGCTCCGTGAGGCGCACGGTGCCGCGGAGCAAGTCCGTCTTCATCTGGCTCCACGGCACGACGGCCGGCCCGGCGGGCGCATCCGCGACGCCCGCGGCCGCCTTGGCGGATTTCTTCTTCTTCGACGGCGAGAACGGCGCCATGCCTCTCGGACGGCGCGCGCGCGAGCAATGACGCGCTCGTCGCGACAGCTGAACCGAAGTGATGAAATCTCTCCGCTTCCGAGACTACGGACGGGAAGCGCCCCGACGCGACGCCCCGTCGCCACTCGCGCGCGCCGCGCGATGACGATCCGCACGATGCCGACGCGCGGGTTCGCGCGCCTCGCGCGCCTCTCCGTCCTCCTCGCCCTCCTCGGCGGCGTCTCCGCGGCGATCGACGCCGACGCCGACGTCGCGAGCGACGCGCGCGCGACGCCGACGCCGACGCCGACGAACGCGATGACGACGACGCGGCTGTCCCCGCGTCTCTTCGAGAAAACGCTGGACCTCTCCGCGCACCTCTCCCCGACCGCCTCCTCGCCGCCTACGCCGTTCGATCACGCGGCCGGATACTTCGCGCTCAACCGCACGCGCGCGGCGGAGATGTTCTACTTCTACTTCCGATCGAGAGACGCGGCGGCGGACGCCCCCGTCGTCCTGTGGATGACGGGCGGGCCGGGCTGCTCCTCGGAGATCGCGCTCTTCTACGAGAACGGGCCGTATCGGATCCTCGACGATCTCACGCTCGCGGTGACCGAGCACGGCTGGGACACGGTCTCGAACCTGATATACGTCGACCAGCCGATCAACACGGGGTTCTCGTACAGCGACGACCCGAGGGACGACGTCCATGACGAGCGCGTCGTCGCGGAAGACATGCTCGACTTTCTCTCCGAATTCGTCGACGCGCACCCGGAACTCAGGCGCGTTCTCCTCACACTGGTCCCCATACGACCGCGTCGGCGTGGTGAACGCCGTTCCTTGAGGACTTTTGCCGGCGTATCTCTCCGCCCAGCCCTCGCTTTCAATCCCGATACACCTCGGCGCCTTTCATCTCCAACTGACGCCTTTCAACTCCACCCCGACGTTCGCTCGTATGGAACGCCCCTCAGAGGGCGCGATTTTTACGTCACCGGCGAGTCGTACGCCGGGCACTACGTCCCCGCGGTGTCGTACGCGGCGTTCAAAGCGCAGCAGAGCGACGGCGTCGGGGTCGGGATGCGCTTGAAAGGACTCGCGATCGGGAACGGGCTGACCGAACCCGAGATCCAGTACGGCGCGTACGCGGATTACGGCTTGGGCGTCGACGTCGTCTCGAAAGCTGCGGCGGAGATTTCTAAGAAGAACTACCCGACCTGCGCGAAGATGATCCGAAAGTGCGGCGGCGGCGCCGGGAGCGACGGCCCGACGCGCGAGAGCGAAGCGCGAAGGAAACTATGCCTCGCCGCCGTCGAGTACTGCTCCGAGAAGGTGTGGGGCCCCGTGATTAAAGACGCGGGCGACGTCAACGTCTACGACGTCCGCAAGAGATGCGTCGGCGATTTGTGCTACGACATGTCGAACGCGGACAAGTTCCTGAACCAGCCCTCCGTGAAGGTATCGCTCGGGGTGAAGCGCAACATCACGTGGGAGGCGTGCGACGGCAGCGTGCATCGGAACATGATGGCGGACTGGATGCGCGACCTCGAGCCGACGATTCCGCCGATGCTCGAAGCCGGGCTTCGCGTGTTGATCTACGCTGGCGAGGAGGATTTCATCTGTAACTGGCTCGGGAACCACCGATGGGTGCGAGCGATGGAGTGGAGCGGGAAGGACGCGTTCAACGACGCGCGGCCGGAGCCGTTCGTCGTCGACGGCGTCACCGGCGGCGACGTCACCGAGTCCGGGAACTTGGCGTTCTTGAGGGTGTCCCTCGCCGGGCACATGGTCCCGATGGACCAGCCCAAGAACGCGGTCGTCATGCTGAAGCGGTTCGTAGCCGGCGAGCCCATGAGCGGCGGGGAGTGGACGCCGAACGGTTCGTCTGAGGAGAAGGCGTTGTTACGGGGAAGAAAGGGAAAAGGCGGCGCGCCGAGGCGCGGCGGCGGCGGTGGCGGCGTCGTCACGTTGTGAGCAGAGCCGCGAACAGAAGTCTTTTTTTTTACATACACGACTGAGTAGTTCGCGACGACGTTCGCGACGACGATTCATCGATCGACAGCGCGATGTACATGCTCATCACCGCACCTCACTCACTTCGCGCGAACGCGCGCCGCGTCGCGCCGCGTCGTCGACACGTCGCGTACCGCGCGCGTCAAAGTTGCTTCCTCGCGCGGTACCCAACGAGTCGTAACTTCACCGCGCTGTCGATGCGCGAAGCGCCCTTCGGCATGTTCGAGTGGCGACTCCCCGGGCGCGCGTACAACCGCGAGCGCGTCGCGCGGCAGCTCGCGCACGCGCACGGCGATCGGTCCTCGGGCGGCGGCGGCGGCGGCGGCGCGCGGAGCTCGGAGAAGAGTCCGTCGCGGAGACGACGCGTCGCGCCTCGCTCAGACGACGAACGATGATGATGGAGATTTCGCCCGACGAGACGCGGATCGTCGTCGTTTTTCGTCGTCGTCGTCGTCGTCGCACGATGTTTTCGATCGTCCCCGCCGAGGGGCGCGCGCGCGGACGCGTCCGCGGGAGGGCGGCTTCCTCGGCCGTACCACGCGTTCGCGACGCTCGTCATGCGTGAACGATGCGCGATGTGCGATGCGGCGCTTTCGAGTCGAGTCGAGCGGCGTGGCTGGCGCGCGCGGGAGTGGGGAGATGGGAGACGCGCGGCGCGAAACGGTTCGCGAAACGGTCCGCCTTCGACATGAAAAGAAGTCGTCCGGTCGCCGCGCCGGCGCCGTGACAAGATCTACGATTCTAATCCTCGATCGACGCCGCCGCCAGCGTCGCCGCGGCCTCCTCCACTCCCCCGTCGCCCCCCACTCCTTCCTCCTCGCCCTTCTTCTCCGCCCTCTCCGCCCTCTCCTTGATGAGCGCTTTCAAGTCCTTCTTCACCGCCTTGGACGCCACGTCCACCGGGGTCTCGCCGTCGTTGTCTTTCAGCTCGAGCGCGCACCCCGCGTCCGCGAGCGCGCGGATACAATCCATCTCGCCCTGCGCCGCGGCGTAGTGCACCGGCGTGTCGCCGTCGTGATCGCGCTTGTCCACCGCCGCGCCTCTCGCGATGAGCGTCTTCAGCATCTCGACCTCGCCGCTGAACGCCGCCTGATGCGCCGGCGTCCACCCGTTCTTGTTCGTCTCGTGGACGCACTGGGGCGTCCGCGCGAGGCACTCCGCGAACTCCTCGGCGTCGCCGTCCTCGATGGAGCCGAACACGGGCGTCTGCGACGACACCTTGGCGCCGCCGCTGGACGAGGACTTCTTCTTCTTCGCGGGTTTCTTCTGGCCGCCCATGGCGACGCGCGCGCGGGGAGGGGTGCGCGCGGGGGGGAGTGCGCGCGGAGAGGCGGCGCGTGGTCGACGAGGGCAGGGCGCCGACTTCTTCCGAACAGAAGCGAGCGGCAAGCTCGACCTCGAGAACCGGATAACGGGCGACGTCATCATCACTCCGCCTCCGCCCCCGTCGTCGCACCGCACGCCTCGACCGAATCGAGATGGCCGCTCTCATGATGCTCCGCGCCCCCGCGCTCGCGCTCCCCGCGCGCGCGTCCGCGTCGCGCGGCCGCGGCCGCGTCTCCCGCGCGGCGGCGCCCGCGCGCGTCGTCCGCGCGTCGTCCGCCGACGCCGACGCCGATCGCGAAAAAAACATCTCGCGCGACGTCGCCGCGCCGGCGCCGCTCTCCGCGGACGCGACGCGCAACGTCCTCGCCGCGTTCCCCGCGCTCGCGATGCTCGCGTCGCCGGAGATGGCCTCCGCGGCGGTCTCCCCCGTCGCGTCCGCGACGGCGGCGTACGGCCACTACCTCGGCCTCGTCCTCGTCGTCGCGACGCTCGTGGCGGAGAAGTTTCTCATCAAGCCCGAGCTCACGGAGGAGGAGGCGAAGACGCTCGTGATCGCGGACAGCGTGTACGGCATCGCGGGACTGCTCGTCCTGTACACCGGCTACCTCCGGGTCACGGAGTACGGCAAAGGGTGGGAGTTCTACGCGCACGAGCCGATCTTCTGGGTGAAGATGGGCCTCTTCGGCGTCATGGGGTCCTCGAGTCTCTTCAACACGATCAAGATCATCACGATGGCGGCGGCGCAGAGCAAGGGCGAGAAGCCGGCGCTCGGGGAGAAGCTCGCGGCGCGGATGCAGAAGATCGTCAACGGCGAGCTGCTCGCCATCGGCTCGATCCCTCTCGCCGCGGCGATGATGGCCAGGGGGGTGGCGTACCAGGAGCAGATGCCGTGGCAGGCGGGCGCGGCGCCCGTCGCCGCCGTGTGCGCGGGGCTCACGTTTAAGTACGTCAAGGAGGCGCTGTCGTGGAGCGACGAGGAGAAAGTCGAGAGCGCGTGAGCGGTGGACACGTGGACGCGTAGTGAGCGGCGCGGCGCCGTGATTCGATGAGGTATTCCACGTCGGCAGATCAGATCAGATCCATCGCATCGCATCGCTCGTCGTCACTTGAACAGCCGACCGGGTTTGGACTTGGCGCCCTTCTTCTTCTTCTTCTTCTTCCCGCCTCCGCCGCCGCCGCTCCCTCCGACGGCGACGACGCCCTCGCTGCCGTCGCTCCGCGCGCGCTTCTTCGCCGCTCTCGCTTCGCGTTTCTCCCGCGCCGCCTCCGCCTCCGCCTCGCGCTTCGCCTTCGCGGCCGCCGCGCGCTCCGCCGCGCCCGGCGGCGGCGGCCTCGCGAACACGGCGACGAAGAAACCCTCGCAGTCGTCCTCTCTCTGATCCGCGCGCACTAAACACTCCGCGCCGCCGATCGCCTCTAATCCGGCGCTCTCCGACTCTAACCCGCGGCGGTGCCACGCCGGCAGCGCCTTCTCTAACGTATACCCCAGCTCTAACGCCCTCGGCGCGACCGTTTTCACGACGCGTTCATTCTCGAGCGCGTGCACGGAACACGTGCTGTACGACACCCGCTCCGCGGACGGAAACGACAGCGCGTGCAGCAGCGCCTTGGTCTGAAACGCCGCGAGCGCCGCGACGCGCGCGTCCGGAGGCGCCACGTCAGCACCCGAGCCACCCGCCACGTCAGCACCCGAGCCACCGACGACGTCCCCGCGCGCCGCGGCCAGGAGGTAGTCCCCGCGCGTCCCGGACGTCCCGCTGCCGCTGCACGAAAATGCCATACAAAAAAAGTTCATCGGTCAGTTGAAAGGGACCCACGCGATCAAGTGTTGAAACCGAGCTATGGGTGAAATATAGAACGTACCTGCACGACGGATCGAGCAGCACTGCGCGCACTTCCGCGTACTCGGGATCGTTCACGTCCACGCTCAGAAAGTCCTCGCACCGCGCCACGACGATCTCGCCCGCGCCCGCGCTCGCGACGTTCGCCTTGAGCCGCCTTAATCGCGCGCGGTCGGCGTCGAACGCGAAGACTCTCCCGCCGGCGCCGACGACGGCGGCGACGTGCGTCGTCTTAGGGTCGTTCCATACAAGCGAACGTCGGGGTGGAGTTGAAAGGCGTCAGTTGAAGTTGAAAGGCGTCGAGGACGGGGATTGAAAGCGAGGGGTGGGCGGAGAGATGCGCCGGGCAAAGTCCTTAAGGATCGGCGTCCACCTCGCCGACGCGGTCGTATGGGAACCAGTGTATAGAACGCACCTTGTTTCCCGGCGCCGCGCACGCGTCGACGACGTGCCACCCCGCCCGCGCGCCCAACGCGACCGCGGGGAAGCAGCTGCTCTTGCCTTGTAATATCAGCTCGCCGCGCTTCACCATGGCGTGCGCGTGGAGGTCCGTGCCGGGGGGGGCGACGACGAGATTCGGGACGTGCGGGTCTGAGGGTCGAGGGTCGAGGGTCGTCGCGCGCGAATCGACGTCGGGGCGGGCGGTGCACAGGGGTGCGTCAGTCGGGGTTTTTGTGAGGCATCACGATCGGGCGTTGAAAGCGAGGGGTGATGGGCGGAGAGAGACGCGCGCCGGGAGAGAAAGTCCTTAAGGAATGAAGTTCACGACGCCAACGCGGTCGTACGGGGACCGGCGTGATATTCGAACGCGCCCAACGCCGGCGAAAGCCGCGACAGCCGCTTCATCGCGTCCGCGACGGATATCTTGAGTACGTTCACGCGCGCGTGCCGCGAGTGCGTCGACACGCTCGCAACGAGGTCGCCGCCCGGGAGCGCGCGGAGGTACGCCTCCACGGACGAGGCTTTCGCGCGTCGCAGCCGCGTCCGTAACGATCGCGTCAGCGCGTCGCGGTAGCCCGCGATGAGCGTCGCGCGCGCGGCGACGACGTCGGCGACGACGTCGGGAGGGCGCCTCCTCCTCGTCGCCTCCTCCTCCTCCTCCTCCGCGTCATCCGGGAGCCCCGCGCCGAAGAGGAGCTCGTACGTCAGGACGTACGCCGCGGAGCGCGGGACGCCGCGGCGGCGCGTTCGCTCGTCGTCCGCGTCCGCATCCCGCGATGATGTCGCGTCGGCACCGCCGCCGCGCGCTCGCCTCCTCTCCTCCTCCTCCTCCTCCTCCTCCTCCTCCTCGTCGTCGCCGTCCTCCTCCGCGTCCTCCGTCAACGGCACGCGCGCGTCGTCCAGAACTTCTCGCAGCAGCGGGACGTGCTTCAGGCACTCGCACACGACCGCGTGCGTCGCCTTCTTCGCGGCGATCCCATCCCTCAGCGTGAGCGATTTGACGCTCGCGCCGCCTCGGCGCGCGCCGTCGGCGCGAAGCAGCCGCGCGACGATGTCCGCCGCCTGCCTCCACACGACGCGGGCCAGGCCTCTGGGAAGCGGTCGCCGGCCCATCGCGGAGGGCGCGGAGGGCGCGGGGGCGCCGGGCGTCGCTCCGCCGCCGGCCGCGTTCGCGCGCAGTCGCTGTGATGCTCCGACACGCTCCATCAGTCGTCTCGGAAGAGACGTTGAAACGCGGCGAGGGGTTCTTAGAAGACGCCATCCATTTCGGCATCTCCGAGAGCGGAGCAGCGCACTCGCCGCGCCGCCGAGGGCACGTTCCCCTTGCGCCTCGCGCCTCGCGCTGACGACGACATCGCCATCGCCATGGCCGCGGACCCGTTCGACGGCGGCGTGACGCACGCGACGAACCGGCAGTACAACCGGCAGAACCCCGCGTTCGCGGACCGTCCACCCCCGGGCGCGCATCTCGCGTCGAACGCGCAGTGGCCGGAACCGCAGCGATGGCACTCCGGACCGGAGGATCTCACCGAGGCGACGCTCGCGAAGATCGAGCGCGAAGGCCGCGAGGGCGACCGGCTGCATCACGCGCCCGCGTACGACCTCGCGCTGAGCCCGGCGCTCCTCCTCGCGTCGCTCGGGGACGACGCCAAGACGATCCGCGAGCTCCTCGCGCGGGGGGCGTGGATCGAATGCAGGACCGAATCCGGCGCGACGCCGGTGATCTGCGCCGCGAGCAAAGGCGCGGGGATGGCGCTCGAGGCGCTCCTCGACGCGGGCGCGGATATCACCGCGGTGGACAAGGTGGGCGCGAACGTCGTCCACCTCGCCGCGCACAACGGCCGCGTGGCTACGATCCAAAACGTCTTCGCGCACGAAAAGGTGACGTCGTCGGACGGCGCGAAGGAGGCGCTTCTGCGCTGGCCGACGAACGGCGGGGAGACGCCGATCATGGCGGCCGCGAAAGCAGGGCACGACGACGTCGTCCGCGTCCTGATCGAGCTCATGTCCGGCAAGGCGATCGCGTCGCGGCTCGCGGGGCCGGAGGATGACAAGAGCGGGTTGGAATTGGCGAAGGAAAAGGCGGAGCAGATGAAGGCGCGTTCCGTACACTGGTCCCCATACGGCCGCGTCGGCGTGGTGAACGCCGATCCTTAAGGACGTTTGCCGTCGTCTCTCTCCGCCCATCAGCCCTCGCTTTCAATCCCGACACACCTCGACGCCTTTCAACTCCAACTGACGCCTTTCAACTCCACCCCGACGTTCGCTCGTATAAAACGCCCCTAAGAGAGAAAAAGAAGCCGCGGAGAAGGCTGGGGTGGACCCCGGGGAGAAGAAGGTGACGTTCTTCGACGACGGCGGCGACGTCGCGCGATGCACCGCGATGTCGCTCGCGTGCCGCGCCGGGCACGTGAAGTGCGTCCAGGCGCTGTTGGACGGAGGCGCGAATCCGGTCGAGCGTTCGGGCCCGCGAGGGATGACCCCGCTGATGCACGCCGCGTGTAAAGCGCAGGTGCGTTCTATCACTGGTCCCCATACGACCCTGTCGGCGTGGTGAACGCCGATCCTTAAGGACTTTGCCCGGCGCGTCCCTCCGCTCACCCCTCGCTTTCAATCCTCGCCCGCGTCGCCTTTCAACTCCAACTGACGCCTTTCGACTCCACCCCGACATTCGCTCGTATGGAACGGCCCTCAGTCCGACGTCGTGGAGAAGCTGTTGAAAAATCCAGAGGTGAGCGCGGACGTGGAGGCGAAAGACGACGCGGGGATGAGCGCGCTTTTGCACGCCGCCGCGGCGGGATGCCCGGGGACGTATCAACAGATCGCGAGGCTTTGGACGGGGGGGGAGAACGACACGTACGACGAGAGAGACGCGAAGGGCCGCACGCCGCTCGCGCTCGCGGCGAGGTTTGGGGGGAAGCGAATGGTCGAGTACGTCATCGAAAAAGCGGGCGTGATCGCGTGCGGGGAGTTTGACGACCAGAACGAGAGCCCGCTGTTCGCGGCGATCAAAGGTGCGGGTGGTTTCCGCGCGCGCGTTTCTGTTTATTAGACTATTCACCCGTCCCTCGGTTTCAACATTCATTCGATCGCGTGGGTTCCTTTCAACTGACCGATGAATGAACTCTCGCCCTCATCATCGAAGGCGGATTCGTCGGAGAAGACGACGCCGCGGAGCTCATCTTCCGCGCGTACCCGGTGCACGAACGGAAGCTCGAGGTGATGGAGATCAAGAGCAACGAGGGGATGACGATGCTGCTGTGGGCGGCCGCGCACGGGAGGGACGCCGCGTGCGAGTGGCTCGTGAAGAACGGCGCGAACCTGCTCGCGACGGATAAGAAGGGGCGGCTGCCGAGGCAAACCGCGGAGCAGCACGGGAAGTTTGACACGTCGGCGTTGTTGTCGCAGCTCGCGAAGAAGGAGTGGTTGCGGTTGTGACACGTGTTACGTGGCTGTGATGACGTGTCAGATGGACGTCGTGGAAGAAGAAACCTACAGTACGTATATCATATCCCTAGTAGTCCGTTAGCCATTTGTAGCGATGTAAACTAAACTCCCCGCCGCGTGAACTTTTTACGAACCTAGCTAGCGCGTCGTATACCGACGGTCGTCTCTCCTCTACGCGCCCTTCAATCGGGCGATGACCGCCCGCAGCTTCGACGCTACCGAGATGAGCTCCGCGTGCACGACGTCGTCGCCAATCTCCGACGCGTTCAGTAACACGCCGTCGACCGCGGCGGCGGCGTTACCGAGCGCGGCGGCGGCGCCGAGCTTCGAAGCGCTCGGCGGGGGTCCCGCCGCCGCCCCCCCCCCCCCTCCCTCCGCCGCCGCCGAAGAACCCCAACCCCCCGAACGCGCTCCCGAGCTCCTTCGGCGACGGTGGCATCGACCGTGCCTGATCGACCACCTCCACGCCGCGCCCATCGCCGCCGTTGCCGTTGCCGCTGTTCTTCCTCGGCGTCGCGCTCGCGGAATGCCCGGCGTTGGCCATAGCCGCCTTGGCCCTCGCGCCGATGTTCGCGAAGAGATCCGCGGCTCTCGCGCCGACGCCCGCGGACGCGTCCTTCGCCTTGATCAAAAACTCGTTCGCTTTCGCGCCGAGCTGCGGCCGCGCGTCGTCGCCGCCGCCGCCGACGCCGCTCCCGCTCGCGGACGCGGACGCAGACGCGGACGCGGCGGCGCCGGGGAACGTCCCCGTCCCCGTCCCCGTCCCCGTCCCCGGCGCGACCGAGTTGGCGGGAATCCCGAGCTCGATCCCCGCGCGCGCGAGCACCTCCGTCGGGACGTCCTTCCCCTCCCTGACCGCCTTCACCGCGGGCGCGATGACGCCGGCGCGAGATACTAACACGTCAATGTCGCACGCGGGGGGAAACTTTTGCAACCGTTTGACCACGCCGCCAAAGTCCTCCGCGTCGGCGACGTCGCCGCGGACGAAAACGATCATGCTCACCGCGAACGCCTCCATGAAATCCATCGCGGCGTGGCCATCGCCGCGATCATCCCCGGCGTTCGCGTCGGCGATCGCGTCCCACACCCTCGCGGCGTCGTCCAGATGGAACTCCCGCGTGAACGCGAGCCGCAGCCACCGCAGACAAAACAACTGCGGCTCGACGCCCAGCGCGCGCATGCGCTCGCTCGTGGACGCGTCGATCTCGTCCAGGACCGCGAACACCCTGTCGCACGCGCGCTGGACTTCGCTCGCGCCGCCGCGGCGCTCCGCGTCTTCGTAGTACGCGACGACGTTCACGAACGGAGGACCGGTCGCGTCGTCTCCGCGCTCGTTCGCGTTCGCCCGCCGCCGCCGCGCGTCTCGCGTCGGACCTAAGAACGCGTCGAACATCGCGTACGTGTCGTGCTCGACGTACGTCGACGACAGCGCCGGCGCGTTCGCGTCGATCGGTCGCATCGGCGGCGGATCCCCGCCCTCTCCCCACGCGTGCGTCGCGCCCGCGTCCGTCCCCGTCCCCGTCCCCGCGGCGGCGTCCGACGCTCGGTAAAAAAAAATCAGCGACGCGAGCTCGTGCATCCCTTGCCTGTACCCCACTTCCGGATTCACGAGCGCCCACGCGGTGAGGACGTTGCACAGCGCCGCCTGGACGTCTTTCGCGTTATAAAACGCCTCCCCTGGGTGCAGTCGCTCGAGGTCTTTCGCGACGAGGTCGCGGACTTCGCGCGCTTTGAAGTGCTTCGCCCACGGCGTCTCCTCTGACGCGGGCATGAGAGGATTATTCACGGAGGGGCTGTGCGCGTCGTCTCTCGGATCGCACTCGTGGTCTTCGCGGATGGAGGCGTAGCGTTCGCGCGATTTCGCGACGGAGCCGGACGCGAACGCGCGGAGGTTCGACGCCCATCGCTCGGTGCGGAGCGTCCCCATCGCGGCGCGGCGCCTCGCCTCGGGGCGCGTCGATCTGCGAGGGCGCGCGCTGTGAGATGCACCCTAGAGTTCGTTCGTCAGTTCGTCTTTTTCAAGTTTTCTTGGCACCCGAACTGGGCACCCCCCAGAACAGCGGGGCGCTGGGCAGCGGCGGGGGACGGGTCGCGTTCCGCCGCCGCGGCGACGCCGAGATGCCCCCCATCCGCGTCCTGAACGTCGCGGAGAAGCCCTCCGTCGCGAAGGAAGTCTCGCGCGTCCTCTCCAACGGCCGCGCCTCGATGCGCGAGGGACAGACGCCGTGGAACAAGATCTGGGAGTTCGAACATCGCGTCCAAGGGCAACAGTGCCGCATGGTGTTCACGTCCGTGACCGGGCACCTCATGAACCTGGACTTCACCGGCGGCGCGCGGAAGTGGGGCGGGATCAACGCGCGAGAGCTCATCGACGGCGCGCCCGTGGAGAAGATGGTGTCCAGCGGCAAGGAGAAGACCGCGGAGAACCTCCGACGGGAAGCGCGAAACGCCGCGTGGCTCATCCTGTGGCTCGACTGCGACCGCGAGGGCGAGAACATCGCGTTCGAGGTCATGGACGTCTGCCGCGGCGTGAAGCCGACGCTGCGCATCCTCCGCGCGCGATTCTCCGCGCTGTCGCACAACGACGTGACGCGAGCGCTGAACGCCCTCGTCGCCCCCAACGAGAACGAATCGAAAGCCGTGGACATGCGACAAGAGCTCGACCTCCGCTTGGGCGCTTCGTTCACGCGGTTCAACACGATGCTGCTTCAGAACCGATTCCGACTCCCCGGCGCGAACGAGGACGGCCGCGGCGCGGTCGTGAGCTACGGTCCGTGCCAGTTCCCCACGCTCGGGTTCATCGTGCAGAGGAAGTGGGACCAGGCGCGTTCTCCTTACACTGGTCCCCGTACGACCGCGTCGGCGTGGTGAACGCCGATCCTTAAGGACTTTGCCCGGCGCGTCTCTCCGCCCAGCCCTCGCTTTCAATCCCCGCCCCCGACGCCTTTCAACTAATACTGACGCCTTTCAACTCCACCCCGATATAGGACGCGCACGTGCCGGAGAGGTTTTGGAAGATTCGGCTGACGCACCGCCCGGGCGCGGCCGCGGACGGCTCGGGCGGCGGCGGCGGCGGCGGACGCGTGAGAGGCGGCGGCGGCGGCGGCGGTGCCGGCGCCGTGAACCCCGACGCCGGGGCCGCCGCGGAGTTCGCGTGGGCGCGCGAGCGTCTGTTCGACGAAGGTCTCGCGCGAACGCTCTTCGGGTTCGTTCAGACCGCGCGGATCGCGACGGTGACGAACGAGGGCGGGCGCGAGACGAAGAAATGGCCGCCGGTGCCGTTGAACACGATCGAGATGCAAAAGCGCGTGAACAGGGCGTGTAGGATATCCCCCGCGGAGGTGATGAAAGTCGCGGAGGAGCTGTACAACGCGGGTTTCATTTCCTACCCGAGGACGGAGACGGACGCCTTTCCGAAAGATTTCGACTTTGCCGGAATCATCGGGCCGCTGACGAATCATCACGTGTTCGGGTTCCACGCGCGCGCGCTCTCGGCGCCGAGTAATCGGTTCAGGTTCCCAGGGAACGGCGGGCACGACGACAACGCGCACCCGCCGATATACCCGACGAAGCTCGCCACGGAGCGCGATTACGACGCGTGGAGACGCGACGGAAAAATGAACCAGATTAAAATCTACGACTTCGTCGCCAGGCACTTCCTCGCGACGTGCTCTCTGCCCGCGATCGCGCACAAGACCACGGTGGAAATCGAGATCGGCGGCGAGGCGTTCAAAGCGACCGGGGTGATGATCAAGGAGATGAACTACCTGGACGTCTACGGCAAAGGCCCCGTCGGCGGTCCGCGTTTCGACGTCTCCTACGACGGTTGGGCGAACAACACTCTGCCGACGTACGCGGTAGGGCAGCGGTTCGAACCGACCGAGCTGTCGCTCGCGCCCGGCGCGACGCAACCGCCGCAGCTGTTATCAGAGACGGACCTCCTTCAGAAGATGGAGAACCATCAGATCGGCACGGACGCGACGCAGGCGCAGCACATCGAAAAAGTCGTCGGCGAACGCGGCTACGCGGTGAAAGTCGGCGATAACCGGTTACGACCGACCGAGCTCGGCGAAGCCCTGTGCGCGGGGTACTACCGAATGGGCCTGGAGGACATGTGGCTGCCGACGAAACGAGCGGTGATGGAGGCGGACGTGAACAGAGTCGCGCTCGGGCAGCTGGACGTTCCGACGGGAAAGCGGAACACGACGACGCCGATGCTCGACGCGTTTCGGGATTTGGAACGGAAGCAGCGTATGCTCGTAGACGCGGTGGCGGAGTTTGTGTTTCCGAACGAGAACCACCGCGGCGGCGGGCCGGGTGCCGACGGCGGCGGCGGCGGCGTTGGGGTGGGTACGGGTCCCGGCGTGGACGAAAATCTCGGCGCCGTGCGCGCGTGCGCCGCGTGCGGCGCTCCCGTCGAGCTTCGAAAGTCGCCGCGCGGGCGCGGGCCCGGCGGCGGCGCGTCGTTCTCGGTCTCCTGCTCCGGCGTCGGGTGCGACCGCGCTGATTCCAATTTCGCGCTCCCGGACGCGGTGACGTCCGCGGCGATCGACGTCATGCACGAGTGCGAGGACCCCGCGTGCGTCGACGTGAACGGCGGCGCCGCGTGCCTCGTGGATCTGCGCATGCGAATGACGCGGTTGCCTCCGCGGTTCGCGCACATGGGGCAGTTCACCGGGTGTCTGTTCTGCGACCGGGAGTTGCGGGATTTGATCTCAATGATGGAGGAGGCGCCCAGAGGGGGAGGCGGCGGCGGCGGGGGGCCGCCGGGGCCGGGGCCGGGGATGGGGGCGGGGCCGGGGGTGGGGCCGGGGGCGGGGCCCGGTTCCGGCGGCGGCGGCGGCGGCGGCGGTCGCGGGCGCGGGAGAGGCCGCGCGTCTTCGACGACGACGGCCGCGGCGGGCGGTCGCGGGCGCGGGCGCGGGCGCGCGTCTTCGACGACGACGGCCGGGCGCGGGAGGGGACGGACGCGCGCGGCGGACGGGGGTGGGAACGCGCGGAACGTCCGGGCGCGCGGCGGCGGCGGCGGCGGCGGCGGCGGCGATTGCTTCAAGTGCGGGCGACCCGGGCACTGGGCGAGCAACTGCCCGAACGAGTGAGGCGAGACGCGCGCGTGCCGCGTTGTAGCGTAGCGTAGCGCGACGACGTCGTGAACGGAGTGATACACGCCGTTCGTTCTCTCGCGACGAAGCCGGGTCGTCTCAGACGGCGACGGCGAGGCGTTTTTTGTTTGACCGACGGCTGCGACGACCGCACTGATCAACGTTGCTGACGTGCCGTCGCCATTCGTACGTCGAGCGCTGGCATTCCAACGCGCGCGCGCCTCGTCGCCGCCGATCTGCGGAGCCGCTCGCGGGAGCGCCTCACGCTCGCGATGGCTCCGGCGCCCAGACGATCGACGCGATCGACCGCGGGGAAGCGCGCGACGTCGCCGTCGCCGCCCCCGCCCGCGTCTCGGCGATCCGCGGCGGGCGCGAGATCGAAATCGAAATCGAAATCGTCGTCGTCGACGTCCGAGGCGCCGCACTACGAGTTCGGCGGCCCGATCGGCGCGCTCGGGATCGTCGTCGGCCTCCCCTTGGTGTGCTACGGCCTCGTCGCGTTCTGCAACGAGAACGGCTGCGTCAAGCCGAGCGAGCTGCGATGGCCGATCGACGCGTCGGCGCTGCCGTCATGGCCGAGGGGCGTCCCGCTCTTCTCGGTCGACGCGTGCCTCGTCTTCCTAGGCTGGATGGCGTTCACGATCGCGACACACTTGATCCTCCCGGGCGCGAAGAAGCAGGGCGTGGTCCTCCCGAACGGCGAGCGGCTGACGTACAAGCTCAACGGGCTGTCCGTCTTCGTCGCGACCGCGGCGTGCGTGGGCGTGGGCGTGTGGAGCGGGCGACTGCATCTCGGATGGGTGCACGCGAATTTCGCGCCGTTGCTCACCGCGGGCGTCGCGTTCGCGTTCGCGCTCTCCCTCGCGCTGTACGTCGGGTCGTTCGTCGGCGAGAAGAAGCTCCTCGCCAAGGGCGGCGACAGCGGGAACGCGCTGTACGACTTTTTCATCGGGAGAGAGTTGAACCCGCGTCTTCTGCGCGGCGCTTTCGACTTGAAAGTCTTTTGCGAGCTCACCCCGGGCTTGATCGGTTGGCTCCTCCTCGACCTCGGGTTCGCGCATCAGCAGTTCCTGAACACCGGACGCGTCTCCCCCGCGATGGCGCTCGTGTGCGCGTTCCAAGGGATATACGTCCTCGACGCGCTGTGGTTCGAGCCCGCCATTCTCACGACCATGGACGTCACCACGGACGGCTTCGGATTCATGCTCGCGTTCGGCGACCTCGTGTGGGTGCCGTTCACGTACTCGCTCCAGGCGCGATACATCCTCGAGAACGACGTCGCGCTCGAGCCGTGGTTCGTGTGCCTCGTCGTGACGATCAAGATCATCGGATACGTCGTGTTCCGCGGCAGCAACGGGGAGAAGAATCGTTTCCGCCAAAACCCGAACGACCCTTCGGTGAAGCACCTGAAGTACCTCCCGACCGCGCGCGGCACGCGTCTGCTGATCTCCGGGTGGTGGGGCATGGCGAGGCACATCAACTACTTCGGCGATTGGCTCATGGCGTGGGCGTGGTGCCTGCCGTGCGGGTTCCGCGACGTCGTGCCGTATTTTTACGTCGTTTATTTCGGCGTGTTGCTCGTGCACCGCGACCAGAGAGATCAGGAGGCGTGCCAGGAGAAGTACGGGAAGGACTGGGACGCGTACTGCGCCATCGTGCGGTGGCGGTTCTGTCCGTACGTGTACTGATCGAGTCGACCGACGGGGCGGCATCGATATCGCGTCAGTCTGTGGGTGTTATTAATACGATGGATTATCACGACGCGCGCGCATCGCATCTTTTCGTGTTTTTTCTTCTCGCGCGCCTCGCGCGCGCGCCTCGTCAGCGGCTGAACGCGAACGCCGATGCGAGTGGATAAACCCATCTGTCCGTCCCGTCGGCGTCTCCGAGCACACCCGCACGCGCACGACCGCTCACGTCGTCGACCCCGACGCCGATGTACGCCATCTCCTCCACCACCGCCGCGCGCGTCGCGCCCGCGACGTCCGCGTCCGCGGCGCGCCCTCGCGCCGCGCGCGCGACGCTCCGCGCGCCTCTCCCCGTCGCGAAGACGGCGGCCGCGCTCGGCGCCTCCTCCTCCTCCTCCCGCCGCGGCGCCCTCCAAATCGTCGCCGCGGACGCGAAGGAGGTCCCCGGCACGGACGCGAAGGGCCTCGGGAAAGCCCTCCCGATGGAGATGGACATCGACGCCATCATGAAGCTCCTGCCGCATCGGTACCCGTTCCTCCTCGTCGACCGCGTCCTCGAGATCGAGCAGGGGTCGTACGCGATCGGTCTGAAGAACGTCACGATCAACGACAACTTCTTCCCCGGTCACTTCCCGCAGCGACCGATCATGCCCGGCGTGCTGATGGTCGAGGCCATGGCGCAAGTCGGCGGCCTGATCATGCTCGACCCGAGCGCGGCGGGAGAGGACGGCGGCGGGACGCAGCAGGAGTTTTTCTTCGCCGGCATTGACGGCGTGAAGTTTCGGAGGCCCGTCGTCCCGGGGGATCAGCTCGTCATGAAGGTGGTCCTGACGAAGATGAACAAGCGGTTCGGGATCGCGAAGATGAAGGGGCAGTGCTTCGTCGGCGAGGACCTCGCGTGCGAGGCCGAGCTCACGCTCGCGCTCGGGAGCTAATCGAATCGAAGACGGACGGATTCGTTTCGGAGGCGGCGGATAGCGGAGGGACGCTAAGGTTATGGACGACGACGCGGACTCGTCGTCGAGTCGCGCCGCGGCGAAGAGAGCCGGTGGAAACGCGAAGAACGCGACGCGCGTCGTGGGTAGATAGTCGGCCGATCTCCGCGCGTCGACGGCGCGCGGCGCGGCGCTCTTCTCTCTCTGCTACGCACGATCTGGATATTGAAAACACACGCGTCGTCGCATTCGCGCTCGCGCTCACTGGACCCCCGGAACTTGCATCACCTGTCGGCACTCCCCGCACGCGACGAGCGGCGCCCCCGGCGGCGGCTGCAGACGCGTCGCGCACCGCGGGCACTGAATCAGCGGCGGACGCGCGCTCGCGCCCGCGTCGGGGCGCCACCCAGGCATCGACCCCCCCGACCCCCCCGCGGCGCCGGCGCCCCCTTCCCCTCCGCCGCTGCTCTCTCCTCCTCCTCCGCCGCCGTCGCCCGGCATGGCGATGACTTGGTGGCACCCGCCGCATATCGCGAGCGACGCCCCCGGGGGCTGCTCCACGATCGCCGCGCACAGCGGGCACTTCACCATGCTCTTCGGCGGCGCCTTCGCGACGTACGGGTTGTTCGCGTCGTCGCCCCCCGGGTCGGACACGATCGGCGAGATGGCTTGCGGGGTTACAAGCGAACGTCGGGGTGGAGTTGAAAGGCGTCAGAAGCGGAGTTGAAAGGCGTCGAGGGCGGGGATTGAAAGCGAGGGGTGGGCGGAGAGACGCGGCGGGCAAAGTCCTTAAGGAACGGCGTTCACCACGCCGACGCGGTCGTATGGGGACCAGTGTGAGTTGGGACGCACCTTGCCCGCACGCCCCGCACGCGACCGTGGGCGCGCCGGGGGGGATCATGAGCTGCGCCGCGCACGTCGGGCACGTCGCGATGAGGCTGCGGCCGTCGGCGTGCGCGCGCGCGTGCGCGTGCGCGGACGACGCGGAGGAGAAGTCGGGCTGCCGGATAGCGCCTGTCGAGGAGGGGGCCCGAGGGGCGCGGCGACGCGACGCGACGGGGTGAGGGGGGGGATCTCGTCGGCGACGTGGGAGGAAAGATTTGGAAACGACCGTCGCGCGCGGGTCCACGACGCGACGACGACGCGGGCGGGGAGGGCGCGACGCGCACCACCGCGGCCTTCGTCCACGTCCCCGCCGGGCAGCGGCATGTACCCGCCGTCCGCGGCCATGACGCGTGCGTGCGGAGTCCTCGCGAGCGCGTCTATGATGAGTGAAGAACGACGAACGCGTCGCGTGGCGACCGCGGCACAAATCTCGTTCCAACGGCTGGGCACGCGCTTTGCGACGTCAGGTCGTCGACGCGATTTTTTTCTCATCAGCAGACTCGTCGACGACAACACACAAGCTACTCCCCACCCCCNA